TGGAAGGTAGTTGTGCTTTCTGGGTTCGAGTCCCACTGGTGGGTGTTGTCCAAAGATTGTTTATCTTCACTTGTGGTTTATGCAAGTATAGGCTTATAAGCTGGACACGAGTTCTCTCACATTGACAGTGGCTTGACGAAAATTGCAGACTGACCCCTCACTCATCTGGTGCCTTCGGGAGGTAGAGATGTTTGAGATATATATATCTCGAACTATCTACTTCTTTTGTAAGGTCTGATGGCGTAGTGGGTTAAAGCATACTAGTTATGCCAGCTACTGGAAGGTAGTTGTGCTTTCTGGGTTCGAGTCCCACTGGTGGGTGTTGTCCAAAGATTGTTTATCTTCACTTGTGGTTTATGCAAGTATAGGCTTATAAGCTGGACACGAGTTCTCTCACATTGACAGTGGCTTGACGAAAATTGCAGACTGACCCCTCACTCATCTGGTGCCTTCGGGAGGTAGAGATGTTTGAGATATATATATCTCGAACTATCTACTTCTTTTGTAAGGTCTGATGGCGTAGTGGGTTAAAGCATACTAGTTATGCCAGCTACTGGAAGGTAGTTGTGCTTTCTGGGTTCGAGTCCCACTGGTGGGTGTTGTCCAAAGATTGTTTATCTTCACTTGTGGTTTATGCAAGTATAGGCTTATAAGCTGGACACGAGTTCTCTCACATTGACAGTGGCTTGACGAAAATTGCAGACTGACCCCTCACTCATCTGGTGCCTTCGGGAGGTAGAGATGTTTGAGATATATATATCTCGAACTATCTACTTCTTTTGTAAGGTCTGATGGCGTAGTGGGTTAAAGCATACTAGTTATGCCAGCTACTGGAAGGTAGTTGTGCTTTCTGGGTTCGAGTCCCACTGGTGGGTGTTGTCCAAAGATTGTTTATCTTCACTTGTGGTTTATGCAAGTATAGGCTTATAAGCTGGACACGAGTTCTCTCACATTGACAGTGGCTTGACGAAAATTGCAGACTGACCCCTCACTCATCTGGTGCCTTCGGGAGGTAGAGATGTTTGAGATATATATATCTCGAACTATCTACTTCTTTTGTAAGGTCTGATGGCGTAGTGGGTTAAAGCATACTAGTTATGCCAGCTACTGGAAGGTAGTTGTGCTTTCTGGGTTCGAGTCCCACTGGTGGGTGTTGTCCAAAGATTGTTTATCTTCACTTGTGGTTTATGCAAGTATAGGCTTATAAGCTGGACACGAGTTCTCTCACATTGACAGTGGCTTGACGAAAATTGCAGACTGACCCCTCACTCATCTGGTGCCTTCGGGAGGTAGAGATGTTTGAGATATATATATCTCGAACTATCTACTTCTTTTGTAAGGTCTGATGGCGTAGTGGGTTAAAGCATACTAGTTATGCCAGCTACTGGAAGGTAGTTGTGCTTTCTGGGTTCGAGTCCCACTGGTGGGTGTTGTCCAAAGATTGTTTATCTTCACTTGTGGTTTATGCAAGTATAGGCTTATAAGCTGGACACGAGTTCTCTCACATTGACAGTGGCTTGACGAAAATTGCAGACTGACCCCTCACTCATCTGGTGCCTTCGGGAGGTAGAGATGTTTGAGATATATATATCTCGAACTATCTACTTCTTTTGTAAGGTCTGATGGCGTAGTGGGTTAAAGCATACTAGTTATGCCAGCTACTGGAAGGTAGTTGTGCTTTCTGGGTTCGAGTCTCACTGGTGGGTGTTGTCCAAAGATTGTTTATCTTCACTTGTGGTTTATGCAAGTATAGGCTTATAAGCTGGACACGAGTTCTCTCACATTGACAGTGGCTTGACGAAAATTGCAGACTGACCCCTCACTCATCTGGTGCCTTCGGGAGGTAGAGATGTTTGAGATATATATATCTCGAACTATCTACTTCTTTTGTAAGGTCTGATGGCGTAGTGGGTTAAAGCATACTAGTTATGCCAGCTACTGGAAGGTAGTTGTGCTTTCTGGGTTCGAGTCCCACTGGTGGGTGTTGTCCAAAGATTGTTTATCTTCACTTGTGGTTTATGCAAGTATAGGCTTATAAGCTGGACACGAGTTCTCTCACATTGACAGTGGCTTGACGAAAATTGCAGACTGACCCCTCACTCATCTGGTGCCTTCGGGAGGTAGAGATGTTTGAGATATATATATCTCGAACTATCTACTTCTTTTGTAAGGTCTGATGGCGTAGTGGGTTAAAGCATACTAGTTATGCCAGCTACTGGAAGGTAGTTGTGCTTTCTGGGTTCGAGTCCCACTGGTGGGTGTTGTCCAAAGATTGTTTATCTTCACTTGTGGTTTATGCAAGTATAGGCTTATCTAGTTGTGCTTGCTGGGTTGGAAGGTAGTACATATAATAATATGTGCTTATATAGGCATATATCGAGTCCCATATGGTGGGTATATTTGTCCATATTAAGACATATATATATATATTTATATATATATAATATATATATATATATATATATATTATATATATATATATATATATATATATATGTCGTACCTAGTAGCCAGAACTCACTTCTGAGCCTACTATGCAAGGCCCGATTTGCCTAATAAGCCAAGTTTTCATGAATTAATTGCTTTTCGACTACCTAACCTACCTAACCTAACCTAACCTAACTTTTTCGGCTACCTAACCTAACCTAACCTATAAAGATAGGTTAGGTTAGGTTAGGTAGGGTTGGTTAGGTTCGGTCATATATCTACGTTAATTTTAACTCCAATAAAAAAAAATTGACCTCTTACATAATGAAATGGATTGCTTTATCATTTCATAAGAAAAAAATTAGAGAAAATATATTAATTCATGAAAACTTGGCTTATTAGGCAAATCGGGCCTTGCATTGTAGGCTGAAAAGTGAGTTCTGGCTATATATATATATATATATATATATATATACTCAGAGAGAGAGAGAAAGAGAGAGAGACCCAGTAAACCACTCTTTGAGCTATTTTTAAGTCCGGAAAAATATTGCTAAAAACCAAACTTGAATATTCCTGGTCCTAGTACAGCATATACATGTACTATATCAGGTCTTATAGATAGCGTGTGTTAGGTCTAGATTTAATTAGCAACATAACTATAAAAAAACGGTTTGTCCAGATTCAGTACTACAAAAGTCTGCTGGTCAGTCACGACATGTTGGTACCTTTGACCACTTCGTTACTATAAGTACTTTCATTTCAGGAGGCGGGCTGGAAAAAGCTGTTGTTGAAAGTACTAACATGTTTGAGGATGTGATGTTAGACACCTGATCACAGGACAGTTTGTGGGCTGCGTGTATTAACTCCAAACACATATATACGTTTCTGGAGTTAAAAGCTTTCCCCCACACTTACCGACGGGGGGGTGGGGTCCACACCTGTCGTCTCTGGTAAGATTACAACACGCCTGAACAGGCCATACCTACCATCCCACACAAGATTACAGGACCCCAGATCAAGCCACAGCAACAATCCCCCAGCATACCCTGGGAAACACAAACCGAAACTGTCTCTATTTTCCGCTTGTTACAACTTGTAATAAAGTTGTTACATCTTGGCTTAACGTTTTATGACGTATTAGAACGTTGTTACAATGCTATATTGGTTGTTATAACTGGTTAGGAGGTGTTAAAACTTGTTAGAACGTTGTACCAACGTCGTAGTTTCGGTGTGTGTTTGCGGGGCGTTGTTGTCGTAGATCGTGTTGTTATTAACACTAGACACGTCTGCATTTGTGCAGCTGCCCTAGACTATATGAAAGGGAGTACAGTGTGTCAAAAAGTTAGCTACGTGATGCTAAAAGTCCCCATCACACAGGATGGTTAGTCATACAGAGACGCGTGATAAGTACTCTGCACTGGCAGATTCTGGGTGCATTATGAGGATATCATCAAGAACACGAGAGTGAATAAAGTCATTTCAAAGCTCCAGGTACCTCATAACATTGGGTCTGAAAGGTCTAATAACTGGGAATTCGGTGATGTAGTGTGGGAGATCATGCCGCAGTTCATGCTCACAGAGTTTGCACCTGAAGTGCTCAGGATTGGGAGATCCGTCACCTGTAGCCACCTGCCACAGGTAACGGTAACCCAACCTGATCGTGGCAACCACTGTGTCACACAGTCTGATGGTCGTTTAGTGCTGCATAAATATAGGTTTCAGATCTGAACAAATCATAGCTTTTTATACTGGTGTTTTCAGGTCGTTGGGAGACAGTAATTGCTTTCTTATCAGACCTGAGTGTTTGGACCAATACAGTTTTAACAGCAGAGATGGGGATACCTAGATCTAATTCAACTTCATCTTTGTTACACGCTAATTTGGCTGCAATGTCTATCTCATTATGATGGGTTATATTTATGTGTGAAGGTATCCATACAATGGAGATTCGAAACCTTTTCCTCTGTGCAGTGATTAGGTCATTTGTAATTGCTTGTATGAGGTTCTTGCTCTCGATCAATTCACACACACACGAACCTTCCACAAGTCTAGGTGTAAGAGTCGCATTCATTCAGCGTGTACTAAGACTCTCCCGGTGGCTTCAAGCCTGCCTCAAAAGACCTCGTTCCCTCAGAGGTTGTTTTCTTAAACTGGGTAGACGCAGCTGGGCGAGACTATCAGGGGCTGCAGATTGCTTAATTATAGCACGTCAGCCACTGAGATTGAGCGAGGACCATCTTGACGACCGACATATTTGCGACTGGCGAAATTATAACTCATTTCCTTGATATTTTCATCTTCGCTGCAGGCCAACGTCCTCATTTCGGTAATGACAAACCTTTACTGCAGGAGAGAGAGAGAGTGCCCCGTCTCTCTCTCTCTCTCTCTCTCTATGAACATGGTCATACATAGATGGGATATTAGAACCCACTTTTTTTTATTTATTTATCTTGGAACCGAGGTTTGAAAGCTCTAGGATAGAATATTGTGAGAGTTCACATAAGTTGGTGTTCAATGTGCTCATTTAGGCATGCGTTAAACGTGTTAATGTCACTAAATGTCAGCCTATCGTCATGAACATTGGGTAAGAGCTCGTTAACCCAACAGCCCAACCGTCTTTTTGTGCAACCCGTCCTCAGACCAAGTCCATTTCATCCAGCAGTCGACCCCAAAGACTCATTAATCAATTTTAACATGCTGTTCATTCAAAATATTATTTTTTTCAAATATAAATTAATACTGTTAAATATTAGCATCGTGTACATATTTAGGTATAGGTTAGTTTAGGTGTTTAGGTTCTGTTGGCGATTATTTGTATTTGTAGTACGTGGGTGAAGCATTTACAGCGTTGTGGTTCGAACAACAGTCGTCAGCGGAGCACTTGTTCCGGAAGTGTTCGGACGTCATCAGTTGAGTCGTGTGTAAACCGTTTTTCATTCATAAACAGGTGGGTTTGGCGGGTGCATGGAATGGACTTTTGGTCTTTGCTTGGAGGACGGGCTGGTTTGTGAAAGAAAACACTTTATATATGATTCACAGCTGATTGCGTTCGAACTTTTCTTGAACAGTGCTTTGCTCTCTTCTGATGTTCGAATGCTTCACCGAAGCACTGCAAATTCCAATATTTGCCAACAGAACGAAAATACCTAACCTATCATAGGCCTAACTATACAGCAAATTCAAATATACAATATAAATGAATTATGTTCGTGAAAATACAGTTTTCGAATGCACAATACACAAAAAATTGACAAATACGTATCTAAGACCCGTCGGCAGTTTAGACGAGTTTACCCTGAGAATAGTTTACACATTCTCTGCCCCACTTAACCTTGGTGCAAAATATCGAAGAATAGCCTTAGTTCCCTATCCGTCGGCGTGAGAGTACTATATACGTGTGCTTTGTCGAGAGAAAGAACATTTGTCTGTAGTGCTGAGTAAGTGCTCAGTGGGTGGCAAACAAGTGTTAACGTAATTGTTATGAACCGCACAAATTACTTGGTTTGTTAAGTGTTGTAGACTTAAATCTCACTCTAACAATTCTCAGAATGTTGTGTCAGAACGTGAAATGTCTAGTATTGTGAAGCGTTGTTCATCAGGCTGACAAAGAAAAGCACTGGGGTAAGTAGCCTCCTGTTTGCAGGCGATGAGTCACAATAACGTGGCTGAAGTATGTTGACCAGACCACACACTAGAAGTTGAAGGGACGACGACGTTTTAATGGTCCAGGACGGACCGAAACGTCGTCGTCCCTTCAACTTCTAGTGTGTGGTCTGGTCAACATAGTCTCCTGTTTGTTGTTCTCTGACTGCCGTTGTGTAGTGTAGTGTAGTTCGCTGTTATGCAGTCAAGCTCTGGTAACGTGCGACTAGAATCCGTCAGGGCCGTGTGAGAGTGCCTTAAAACGAGCATCAAAGTAACACGGAACATAGTTGAAGAGAGTATATTCAACCCCCTTTGAAATGTATATCGCCGCGCAATATATTCCTCAGGGAATGTACAACACTTTCTCCAAAGCTCTTATAGGACTAAAAACTACGATAGCGCAGTAGTCTATCAAACACAGCCCAATAAATACAATATTGAGTTCAACCCCGACCCGCCCGACCGTCCAAGCGGTTGAGCACCATTCCTTCCCTCCGTCCCATCCCAAATCTTTATCCCGACCCCTTCCAAGTGCTATATATAGTCTTAATGGCTTGGCGCTTTCCCCCTGATAATTCCCCCCACCCCCTCAATCCCGACCCGGAGTTGACTCTTTATAATACCTTGAATCGGTGTTATGTAACACAGCCCGTCCTCTGGTTACCATGAAAGATGTACTGACTGCAGCTACGATGAAAGATGTAGAGGTTTCGTAATTGGACACGTAGATGTTTGATAAATCGTGTAGCTTGACGTGAACTTCGTCTCCACTCTGACACACGACCCATTTATCAGACTGAGTTGTGTGCAGCAATAAAACTGAAGTAAATACGTAACTGTTGACGTTAAATACGTAACTGTTGGATGGAGATCTTCATTTTAGGGGCCAAGTTGAACAAATCCAAAGGGCCGTGATGAGGATTCGAACCTGCGTCCGAGAGGATCCCAGACACTGCCTTAATCGCAATCGACATGGTCAAAAGGAGTTGAAACCGAGGTTCTACTGAACTTATTAGATCCTGCAGCCTCTCCGAGACACAAACCAGGGTTTTACACAACTCCCCCCTGCACTCGAGTTATGTCAATAGGCCGTTCTCCCTCTTCGCCCTTACTTCATTACATACAGAAATTTATCACACAATTGTGATTTCTGTGTGTAAGGCCAAGTTCTTTGTATCTGTGAAAACGAGACCACAGTTAATGCTTCTAGCAGCGAGAGTATGAAGAACAGGTTGTTCACGGTTACTGTTATTTGCAATAGTATAAGTATAATCACTATATCAGATGACAACCACATGAGGTCGAATATGTCGGCAATTAGTCTATGCATTAACACATTGACAACTGTGGGCTGAGTATACCCCGTGCCCTGAGTATCCCGTGCCCTGAGTACCCCGTGCCCTGAGTACCCCGTGCCCTGAGTACCCCGTGCCCTGAGTTCCCCGTGCCCTGAGTACCCCCGTGCCCTGAGTACCCCGTGCACTGAGTACCCCGTGCACTGAGTACCCCGTGCCCTGAGTACCCCGTGCACTGAGTACCCCGTGCCTGAGTACCCCGTGCCTGAGTACCCCGTGCCCTGAGTACCCCGTGCCCTGAGTACCCCGTGCCCTGAGTACCCCGTGCCCTGAGTACCCCGTGCCCTGAGTACCCCGTGCCCTGAGTACCCCGTGCCCTGAGTACCCCGTGCCCTGAGTACCCGTGCCCTGAGTACCCCGTGCCCTGAGTACCCCGTGCCCTGAGTACCCCGTGCCCTGAGTACCCCGTGCCCTGAGAACCCCGTGCCCTGAGTACCCCGTGCCCTGAGTACCCCGTGCCCTGAGTACCCCGTGCCCTGAGTACCCCGTGCCCTGAGACCCCGTGCCCTGAACCCCGTGCCCTGAGTACCCCGTGCCCTGAGTATCCCGTGCCCTGAGTACCCCGTGCCCTGAGAGTACCCCGTGCCCTGAGTACCCCGTGCCCTGAGAACCCCGTGCCCTGAGTACCCCGTGCCCTGAGAACCCCGTGCCTTGAGTACCCTGTGCCTTGAGAACCCCGTGCCCTGAGGTGTCCAATACCACGGAAGCTGCAGTTCTGCTGTTTATTCCCTTGTAAATGGCCGAGTCTGTTTTGTTAATCGAGTAGCCCCATAATCCATATCAAACTATTTCATTTGACACCAGTAGAGACTCTCACACATTTACAATGCTAACTAACCAGCATATATACATTTTCTTCTGTCCTCCATGGACAAGGTTAGAGATCTGTTGAACTATATTCTCTGAACTACATGTTTAATATATTTATTGAACAATGAACCACAAAAGGTCATTGTAGTGCTTTTAAAATGCTAATCTAACCTACATACATAAATATACAGACTTACGTCTGCCCTACATAAACAGCGTTCGAGGTGTCTTTTGTATAGTGTCATTAATGTGCGTTTACAAAGGTGAAATGCAGTTCTGAAGACTGTTCGTTTAAAGACGAGATCGAAGTTAAGTGTATGAGTAACAGTTTGGTGCTATTGAGGCTCTGTATGCGAAGGTCGTGAGTAGGAGAGGTAGTCGTGAACAAGGGAAGACGGTCGTGTACAGAAGGGGTTGGGGGGGATGGGTCGTGAACAAGGGAAGACGGTCGTGTACAGAAGGGGTTGGGGGGGATGGGTCGTGAACAAGGAGAGGAGGTCGTGGACAGGGAGAAGGCGAAGGTGGTCGTGGACATGGAAAGGAAGGCGTGAGAAAGACTTCCTTCCTTTTTTAGAGGGTCGTGGGCGTAAAGGGGGTCGATACGAGCATGGGCTGAGGGTCGTAGGCAGGACGAGGAGGAGGGTCGTGGGCAGGACGAGGAGGAGGGTCGTGGGAAGGACGAGGAGGAGGGTCGTAGGCAGGACGAGGAGGAGGGTCGTGGGAACGACGAGGAGGGGGGTCGTGAGCAGGACGAGGAGGAGGGTCGTGGGAAGGACGAGGAGGGGGGTCGTGAGCAGGACGAGGAGGAGGGTCGTGGGAAGGACGAGGAGGAGGGTCGTAGGCAGGACGAGGAGGAGGGTCGTGGGAAGGACGAGGAGGGGGTGGAGGGTCGTGGGCAGTTGGAGATCAATGACGAAGGTGGTGGCGATGACGACATAAAGTGGCGCCCTCCGCCTGGAGACAGTTATGGCGAGATACGAGACGTCCGCCTCAAATTATGTTGGGATCACTCATAAAGTTTAGCGACCGTTTGTAAAAAGTTACTCGGCCGTGACTCGCTCAGCGCCGAGGTGTTTCACAATGCCCGTCCTAAGACACCTTATGGGCAAGTGCGCACACACACACACACACACACACACACACACACACACACACACACACACACACACACACAGTTTCACAGTTTCAAGTGTAGATATGATAGAGCCCAATAGGCTCAGGAACCTGTACACCTGTTGATTGACGGTTGAGAGGCGGGACCAAAGAACCAGAGCTCAACCCCCGCAAGCACAATTAGGTGAGTACACCCCCTCCCCCCCCCCACACACACACACACACATTTCCCATATTTGGGTTTATACGCACTGAAAGTTTCCTTTAAAATCGTTCAATATTTTATAAATTATCTTCTTCTGGTGCCGACGTTAAAATTTAATATATGACGGTAAAAAAAATTTACAGCAAAAAATGTCCTTGAATGACAGGTGAAATTTTTGGGGTTATATTTTGATTTACAGAATTTTTCATTGCTTTTCGTAACGTTTCGAACATTTAGTTTCACTAAACTCCAGTTTTTCAGTAGATTTTTGTAAATTTTTTTTACACAATTCCCGTTTATTCAATATTTCCTTAACACATCGTTTTACACATTCATTTTTAAATAACTGAAAATCAGCAAAAAATTAAGCTATCACATCTGTAGTTGGAGAGACTCGTGTATGTATTCTGAGTGCACATATGACTACCTCCTGAGTCGTGGTGTATTCTGAGTGCACATATGACTACCTCCTGAGTCGTGGTGTATTCTGAGTGCACATATGACTGCCTCCTGAGTCGTGTATGTATTCTGAGTGCACATATGACTACCTCCTGAGTCGTGCTGTATTCTGAGTGCACACATGACTGCCTCCTGAGTCGTGCTGTATTCTGAGTGCACATATGACGACCTCCTGAGTCGTGCTGTATTCTGAGTGCACATATGACTGCCTCCTGAGTCGTGTATGTATTCTGAGTGCACATATGACTGCCTCCTGAGTCGTGTATGTATTCTGAGTGCACATATGACTACCTCCTGAGTCGTGCTGTATTCTGAGTGCACACATGACTGCCTCCTGAGTCGTGCTGTATTCTGAGTGCACACATGACTGCCTCCTGACTCGTTCTGTACGCGAACCACGCACATGATAGCATTTTAAAGTCGTGCTCATACTGTACACGCTCACATGAACGCATTACGAGTCGTGTACACACCGTGACTACCCTCATGAAGGCATTACAAATTGCCAATTCCTAATTCAATTCTTCAGATTAGGTGTCTGTTACCTAGCAGTAAAATAGGTACCTAGGTGTTAGTCAGCTGTCCCGGGCTGCTTCCTGGGGGTGGGGGCCTGGTCGAGGACCGGGCCGCGGGGACACTAAAGCCCCGAAATCATCTCAAGATAACCTCAAGAAGATAGGCAAAATTGTAATTAATTTTTGTCAATAAAGATGTTAAGGCAAAACTGCCACACCAGAGATGGTCTATGTCTGGTGTGGAGGCTGACTCCATACACAGTTTCAGGTGTAGATATGATAGAGCCCAGTAGGCTCAGGAACCTGTACACCAGTTGATTGACTGTTGAGAGGCGGGAACAAAGAGCCAGAGAGCCAACCCCCGCAAGCACAAATAGGTGAGTATACATTCCGCATATACAGCCCGGCTCCAGTGTCAGGTAAGTCCACTACGGGCTCACCTTAGCCCGTGCTACCTGCAACTTTTAGTTCCGAGTAGCTGAATCTAAAATAACAATAACAACAGCGTCTTATTATACGGGAAAGACTTATGAGTGAAAACATATAATAATTAAATCTTGAGTGAAAACGGAGATGTTACATTTTGCCCAAACTGACCTGCAGTCTCAGATCTACGATAGAAATTAGGTGAAGAAATATTTCTTGATGATTTGATTACCATCAATTTCGTTATAATATCAATGAAAAGCGGTGGTATTAATAACGACGGCCGAGTTCCAGCACTCACACTTGTCACTCCAACAGGCGGACTTCGAACACTCATACTTGACACTTCCACTCAAGTATGAGCCATAAGATAGTAGCAATATGCAAGTGACTGTCCTGAATATAATATTCCATCGGCTGGTGGCTGTGTTCAGTTCTCAACAGATATATAAATATATATTGTTAGTGCCTCGACAGCCTCTTTGCAAGTCAAAATATCTCAATCAACATCGTCATTTTCCTGAGCAAATGCCGCTCTATAGAACAAAATATAATTTTCCAGCGATAATACAATGTTCCAGAGCTCTAAATTCCAGAATCATTATACTTTTTGCACAGCAAAAATCATTTACCAAAGTTAAAAATACACGTAAAGATGATCTCACCTCTTTAGCAATGTTATATTTAAAGGATAAGTGACAAATATCTTCTCGAGTTCACCTCGCCTCTCACCCAGCCCATTCTCTCTCTCTCCATTATTTGTCTGCTCTCTCTTTTCCATCCTTCCTTCCCTCTTTCTCGCTGTTCTTCTCTAACTCCCTATTCCTCTCATTTTTCTCTCTATCCCGCCTTCTTTGACCTCTGTCTCTTTCCTCCTCTCTTCATCTCTCTTTCACCTATACTCTCTCTCTCTCTCTCTCTCTCTCTCTCTCTCTCTCTCTCTCTCTCTCTCTCTCTCTCTCTCTCTCTCTCTCTCTCTCTCTCTCTCTCTCTCTCTCTCTCTCTCTCTCTCCCTCCAGTGGGGTAGTTGTAGAGTGCGGCCAGCTGGTGACAGATGGACCACAGCCCCCCAGAATCGATCCCTGCCGCCAAATCCCGGCACCGGGGTCCGGCTACTGGTGTCTAATGGAAGAGGAGGGAAGGTGGGAAGGGAGAGTGCGGAGGGAAGAGGTACCCTGGGGGTGACCGGTGGGTGGAGCAAGCCAAGTGAGATGTGGCGACGGGAAGCTTTCTTGTTTAAGTAGTCTTGTGCTTGATAAAAAGGTTGATACTGGTGCATGAAATTGGGTTACCAAAATGATATCGAAACAGGGACGAAATGGATAACTGTGAAGGGACGGAGAGAGGACGAGGGAGAGAAGACGAGGGAGAGAGGACGAGGGAAAGAGGACGAGGGAGACAAAACGAGGGAGAGAAGGGGAGGGAGAGGGAGAGAGGCTGAAAGAAACATGTGCATAACAATGTATGTGCATACAGTAGCGCTATACATCAGAAAATTCAGGCATTGCAGATTACATCGGGAAATGTTGCAGATAAACTGTAGGTAAATCTGAGGACACATGTCTGTAACCGGTTGATGACGACCACCAGGACTCATCAGGTACTGATGAGTCCTGGTGGTTGTCAGGTAATCGGGTATATGGCTTAAATGAGAGACAGGTGCTTGGCACAGGTGAGAGACACAGGTGTAAGATATAGACGGACTTCTCGAGTGGTAATTGACCCCATTATCCACTATAAAAAAAACATATATACCCGGGGGTTAAGATGGATCTTTCGAATGTCATATAGTCTCTCCTCGGGGGCAAAGTATCCACCATAGCCACGGGTGGTGCCCCTTCAGAATATCATATATATATATATATATATATATATATATATATATATATATATATATATATATATATATATATATATAATATATATATATATATAATATCTATAATTATATAAGATAGGTAGTGACATGAACAATGTCTCGAGGAGTTAAAACTCATGTTCAACGTTTCAGTGTAAAACTTGCATCACCGGGAAGCTCTTAAAATACAAAGATCAAGCCATTTAAAATGCTTTAAAATGGATTGAAAGAATTTAATACAAAAAAATAACAAATATGTAAACAATAAAGGAACAAAGTTATCTTTAAAATTTATTAAAATTAACAAGTCTATAATTTGAAAAATCGAGAAAAAAACGAAAAACAGAACAAGATACAAATCTACTTAAAGAACAATGACTGATATAACAAATTCCCTTTTAGGATATATTTCAATAATGATTTTATCTATAATACATAAAATAACAAAATAATCCCCTCAAAATATTAAAAAAAAGACTCTTTTTAAAAGGAATTGCCTTAATTTTTGTCATGCAACAGTGGGCGACCTAAATATTAAATAAACACCAGACCACGTTTAACCAAAACATGTTTAAATCGCCATGAAGTAGGAGGGTTCGGGTGGAGAGCTTTGAAGATGGTAATGAGGAGGGAGATAATCCAGATTAATATTACCCTCACTTAGACGTGAGTAATCAAGAGTCGCATCGGCCTCTTGGGATGGCTGAGAGAGAAGAGAGAGAGAGAGAGAGAGAGAGAGAGAGAGAGAGAGAGAGAGAGAGAGAGAGAGAGAGAGAGAGAGAGAGAGAGAGAGAGAGAGAGAGAGAGAAAGAGAGAGACAGAGAGTGAGAGTGTGTTATTACAAGCGTCTGACTTCCAGGCAGAATCACACGACCGTAATATAATTAGCCAATCAGGCATATGTTGGATTCCTTCAGGAATCTGAAGGAAACTTGTAAACACAATCAAATCCCAATAAAGTGATATATCTTTATTAAAATCTTAAGACAAGCGTGTGTGGCGACCCAAGATGCTGGTTCGATGTCGCTGTCCCTTTCCAGACTTCCTCAAAGCTTCGTAGTGGGAACAACACATTGCCAAGAGCTCTGTAAACCCGTGAACATCTATACGGACTCTTTAGTCCCAAAGTTGCGTTTCTGGAATTAAATTGGAGCCCCTCAAAATTTCAACTAATGTATCCCCTAATAATCGTCCCATATTTTTCAATCATTCGGTTCCTTGCTCTCTTGTTGTGTCGTTAAATATTACCGCTGGAAACTGTTACTTGATGGTTGAACGTCTTGTAAGGCTCTGGCAGGTAACTGATAACAAACCAACAAATTATAGGCTAAATATAATAAAAAGCAACAAAAGTAGCAGTATACGCACTCCAAAACAAAAGGCAATTTATTCC